CAACAGCCTTTAATATGAAATAGAAAAAGATCTCCTGTGTTTGGCCATACTGGCTTGAGAAAGCTCACCACCTGGAAAGCCAGCTGCCACATCTGTTGAGCTGGGAGTCGTCTGCATGAGTGAGGTTCTCCTAACCAATCTGCATGTCAAATGTCTGCAAACCTACTCTAGCTGGTCTTCATTTTTACTTGCTTGTATATAAGTGCCCTGCAGCCCCCAATAAAATTGAGCTGGACTCTGAATGGCTCCCAGAGTGGTGTGGCTCCATCATGCTTACCCCCATCAGGGTGTCCCTGTTTGTTGCTGGCGAAAAGACAGCAACAGAAGCGTTCCTTGCAGACAAGGAGATGCCATCCTTAACTCTCCACAAATGGGGTGTTAAAGCTTGTGCTTTATAAATCACTCTCTTCCTGAGATGTCAGCAGAGAAAAACAGCTTCATTAAGAACTTTTTCTGTTATTTACTTCCTGGTATTTCTAAATAAAAGCTACGAGAGGTTTGACCTCAGTGTTACAGTCATTGAGCTGTTAGCCGCCTGCTTACACCTCTTTCCTTTATTCCTGATATCTCTGCCTCCTCTTCATCCTGGTCAACACCACCAAGTTCTTTTGTTATTTTTTAACTGCCTTATATGCGTGTGAAAGTTGGGTAATGGCTACCTGGACCTTTAAATTATGGCACTGGCAGTGTACTGAATCACTAAAGACCAAACAAAATGCCTGAGAGGAAGTCCAGCCAAGTTACTCCTTAGAGATAAGGATGATAAGTCTCTGTCTCCCATGCTTTGGGCATGTTATCAGGAAGGGCAATCCTTGGAGAAGGACATCATGCTTGGAAAGGCAGAGGGGCAGTAAAGGAGAGGAAAATCCTCAATGAGATGGATTGACACAGTGACTGCAGTGATGAGTCAGGCACAGTGGAGTTGTGAGGCTGTTATACCTAAGGTTGCTGTAAGTTGCAGTTGACTCAAAGACACAGGATTTTAAGGCTTTGCTAATTTAAGAATACTACACAGAAAAAGAACAGTCAGAAACAGAGTTTAATATTTATTAATTAATATAACACTAAATCCACAAGTCTTGGAAGGGCCGTCCGTGCACAGCACTTATTTAACAGTTTTTTAAAAAAAAAGAACAGTCAGAAACAGAGAAAAGGCTGAATTTGTCAATAATTTCATTTTTTAACTTGGATCCACAATCCATGTTCATGCAAGAAGCAGTTTAAAAAAAACATAAAAATCAAGACATTGTTGCACTTGACAAGATCTGCTGCAAAAAGTCTTTAAAGTATTAAGAAACTTGAGAAACAGAGTCCACCTAATAGAATTTCCAAGCTGCTGCTCTGTGGGAGAAGGATGGGCAATCTCCTCCCATGCAATTTACTGCCTGTGAAAACCTGCTGGTGGGTCAGCTATGGGTCAGGTCTAACTCGACTGTGCACAACTACTCATACATATTTGAGAGCCAGATAGTGACTAAAGAAGACTGAAACCTTTGAATGATGATGTTGGTGAATTTTGGAAATACAGTAGAATGCCAGAGGAATGAACAAATCTGTCTTGAAAAATTAAAAACCAGAATGCTCCATGGACCATGCTATCAGGAAGGACCTATCCCTGGAGGAAGATGTTATGGCTGGTAGAGGGTCAGTGAAAAAAAAAAAAAAAAAAGGAAGACATTTAACAAGATGGCCTAGCACATGGCTGCAGGAATTGGCTGAAACAGTCCTAACTTTGAGGATGGCACAGGACTGGGCATAATTTTGTTCCATTGCACAAGAGTTGCTGAGTCAGAATTAACTCTATGTTCACTCTGAATAGGTTCATATTTTCTCCAAATTTTCATCTAATCATTTACTGAAATTTCTGTCCAAAATCCATTACTGTAATGTAAACCTGATGATTTTGTAACTTACTATATGTGGCTAGTTTGGCATTCTATTGTTACGAACCAGCAGCTTTGAGGGAGAAAGACGAGCAATCTCCCTCTGTGGGATTTACAGCCTCTGAAAGGTCATGGAGGGTTTGCTATGAACCAGCTCCAACTCCCTGGTACACAAGGTGAACAGTAAAATAACACCCCTTAAACAATTAGCCCTGGGGAGAAACTCACCCCTTAGGGCCAAAAGGGCAGCATTTACTTCTGGATAAAGCTCAGAAGGCAGAAAGATGTAGGAGGATTAATGGAAATGAGACTCACTGGGTATAGGAAGGAAGAGTGTAGTTACACAGTGGGTATCGTAATTAATGTCATGAAATCAACTGTATGAATAGAAAATCAATCTGCTCTGTAACTTTCATTCAAAACACAATGAAAACAAAACACTGGAGCAATGCTTTATAATCTGGTTTATTTGCAATGGCTTCTTAGATATGACAAAAAACAAACAAACAAAAAAACCCAAACACATGAGTGACAAAAACATATCAAAGTGACTAGACCATGGCTCAAACACCACATTTTAAGAAGAGGGTCAGCACAGCAGCCAATGAAGTTCAAAGTATTGTAGATTGCAACAATGAAAGGTTTTCTATAAATTTACCAAATTATTTCACCAATTTCTCCCCATCTCATTTCTTCTTCTAAATGTTATGTGCTGTTGAGTTACTTGAGACTCATAACAACACTATGTACCCTGCTCTATCCTGCGCCAATGTTACTGTCTCTGACACACCTACCCTCATTGCCCCAGTGACTGAATCAATTCATCTCATCGAGGGTCTTCCTCTCCTGCTCTGTTCATCCACCATTCCAAGCATGATGTCCCTCTCCATGACTGGTCCCTCCTAGTAACATGTCCATAATATGTAAGATGAAGCTTCAGAATTCTTGCCTCCAAGGAGTAGCCTGATTTCACCTTTTCCAGAATGAACTTGTATATTCAACAGTTCTCCAGCACCACAGCTCCAAAGGCATCAACTCTCTATCATCCCTAGTCATTATCCAGCTCTCTGAAGCATAGCAAGCAATTGTGAAGATTATGGCCTGGATCAGGTGCATCTTACTCTCCAGACTGACTTTTTTTGCCCTTCAGTACTCTGGAGAGGTCCCTGAGAGTTGACTTTCCCAATGCAATTTGTCTTTTGATTTCCTAGCTGCTGGTAACAAAAGTGTTGATTGTAAAACAAAGCATACGAAAACTGTTAACAATCTCAATCTCTTCATCATCCGTAATGACGCTGCCAATTGGCACAGTAGTGAGAGTATTTGTTTTCTTGATGTTAAGCATGAATCTATATTGAAGGCTGCAATCCTTGATCTTCTGCAGCAACTGCTTCAGGTCATCCTCAGTTTCAGTAAGTAGGATTGTATCATCTGCATACCACATTCCTGATGCCACATTCCTCCTCATACAGCCCAGTCTCCCGGATGATCTGTTCTGCAAATAGATTCAAAAGGTATGGAGAAAGAATACAATCCTTGTGTACACTCTTCCCGATTTTGAACCATACAATTTTCGAAACTGTACATTTTCTTCTTTTAAGTCTTGACAGTTACTAAAGGACACTGACTAACAGCTCATGATAAGGATTTGTAGCTTCTGCAGTCAGGTCTCAGCCTTTGAGGAGTTGCATGCTAGCATTTGCTTTGAAGTGTTGATCCTCTTACTCTTGTAAAGATGTGATTAAACTCACATCCTCTCTCAGGCCTGTCTTCTGAGTGATGTCTGGAGCTGTCAAGGTTCTGACTGGAACCCTTACTGGCTGCTAACACAGCTTGACCACTGGCATTTGTTGCGCTATTGCTGAAACTCTGACTTTAATGACATTACTGTTTCCCTCCTACAAAACTTGTGATTATGAAATTCAGGTTACAAATGAGTTCTTATAAAACATCTAAAGACAGTCCTTTATTCTTGAGGGGTCTTGCCACTCTCATGACTTCTAAATTTCATGACCACCACGGATTTTTTGATGTCTGAAAGTGAACAGATCTCACTTTCCTAAGCTTTTACTGTGTTGCGAATTTATGAAGATATTGAAGTTATAAAATTTGACAAAAGATTTTATCATAGATAACATATATATGGCTTCTCTCCATTATGTGGACAGGTCAAAGATCTGAGGTATGACTATATAAAAATATGGTTGTTTTTATGTTCCACTGACTCTTCTCCAACTCAGTGATGCTATGAACAGGTCTGAACTATGCACTATTTATGTCGTTCTTATGATCTCCAACATGCTCCAGCCACTGGTATAGTAAACCATCCTGCTCAGGGGCTTTCTCTCTCTGACCTTTCTGAGTATGCTGAGTTTTTTCAAGGATTGGCCCCTCCTGATAACAGACCTAAAGCATGTGAGATGAAATTTCACTATCCCTGCTTCTAAGGAGCACCCTTAGTGGTACTTCCTTTAGGACAGACTTTTCTGGCAGATTTATTATGTTGGTAGTCCATGGGATAGCGAGTATACTTCACCAATACTAAGTTCAAAGGGTCTTTCTTTCATTGCCATCAAATTGGAACTGACTCACAGCTGACTCTCAAAAAAGGGATTCAGAGGCTGTAATTCACCCACACAGTCTGTCTTTCTCTCACAAAATATGGTAGATGTGAATCACTTGCCTTTGGACTGGTAGTGCAACTCCTTACCCACTGCTGCTGTTTTTATTACGTACAACCCACGGCGACCCCATGAACAACCGATATGAACCCGTATCAACTAGGTCATCTTTATTTACTGTCCAACTGTTAAGATATATAGGAAGCAACTGAAAATACCATGGCTTGGATCAGCTCACTTTAAACTGAAATCGCTGCTCTTTAGCCCTTTGCAGAGGTTCTTTACAGCCGTATTTCACAACTATGGGTGTTGAAATCACTGCCAACCCCGTCTTTTCTCTAGCTAACACAAAGCTGCCCACTGGTCCAGGGGTGAGGATGTCTGTCTTGCTGATGTTACCTACATTATCCAAGCTTATCTGTTTCCCTCCTGTTGCGGATCCCTCACTATCTGGACTGTAACTTCACATGAAGCCCTTCTCACATCCCTCACACCTTTAGGGCTTCCCTCTAGAGTGGATTCTCTGGTGACAATGGAGTTGTGACTTCTGACAAAATCTCTTCCCACACTCTTCACATTTAAATGGTTTTTCTCCACTGTGGATTCTCTGATGAGTCATAAGTGTTGAAACCTGCCTGAAGCTCTTTCCACACTTCTCACAACTATAGGGCTTCTCTCCTGTGTGTATTCTATAGTGGATCTGAAGATTTGCTCGACGGCTAAAGCCGTTCCCACACTCTTCACATTTGTAAGGTTTCTCACCAGTATGGATCACCTCATGGATCTGAAGCCTTGACATCTGATTGAAGCCTTGCCCGCATTCCTCACACTTAAAAGGTTTCCCTACACTGTGGGCTTTCTGATGGATTGTAAGATATGCTCGCTGGCGGAAACCCTTCCCACACACATCACATTTATAGGGTCTGTCTCCTGTGTGCACCACCAGATGAACTTGACAGTGAACTTTTGTCCTAAAACATTTGCCACACTCCTCACACTTGTATGGTTTCTGGCCATTGTGGACACCCTGATGGGAACGCAAATGTGACCTGTAAATGAAGCCTTTCCCACACACCTTACAGATATATGGTCTTTCTCCAGTGTGTACTCTTTGATGGGTTTGAAACTGAAAAAACTGAATGAAGCTCTTCCCACATTCGTCACACTTGTAAGGTTTCTCTCCTGTGTGAAGCCTCCAATGGACTTTATAAAGGTATGAGTTACGAGCAAAGGCTTTCCCACACTCCTCACATTTGTAAGGTTTCTCTCCTGTGTGGACCATGCAATGATTGTTAAGCGATGCTCTACGGCAGAACGTCTTACCACATACATCACACTTGAATGGCCTCTCTCCAGTGTGAGTTCTCTGATGCTCCTGGAAATGTGAAGGGTAGATAAAAGCCCTGCCACATTCCTCACAATGGTAAGGTTTCACTCCTTGGTGGCCTTTGCAATGAACATTAAGAGTGGCTCTGTGCTTGAAGTGTTTCCCACACTCCTCACACATGTATGGTTTCTCTCCAGTGTGGACAGTGAGGTGACTCTGCAGCTGTGAGCTGGGATCCAAGTCCTTACTACACTCATCTCGCATACAGCGGTTCTTTCCCACATGACTTTTCTGATGTTTATGAAGACCTGAGACGAAACGGAAGGCTTTGCCACATTCACCACATGTCAGCAACTTCTCTTCTGAGTGTGAATGCTGATAAAGTTCAGAGCTGGAGACATCACTGAAGGGTTTTGTGCAGTCTTTATCCTGATGAATTTTCTCTCTTGTGTAACTACTAGATAGTCCTCCTGCCACAGGAGAGGGTGAATGACCTTGTTTGAACAACTGAGACTTTTTTATCACAGGTTCCTGGAAAATGGTTAAAACTCTTGGGATTTGCTGCCAGATCTGCACACTGGAAAGACCCTCTTGTGGTCCCACTTGTGGAATCTCCGTCTGTCTTGAGCTCTTGGCTCCTGTAAGGACAGAAAATTGGGACATATATATATTGATTGTTGACAGTTTAAAAAATTTCACATTTAGATGAGGGATGAGACATAACTGAACCAGAAAAAGGTTCTGTTGATTTCCCCACTGCTTATTATGTTCTCTAATTCACATGCCATAAAAATCAAGAGCAGGGTGAGTGGCCTACAATCCACTACACATTAACAAGGCAACAGAAAAACAAGATTTGAGTTTGTATGCAATTTAGAAATCAAAGTCTTAGTTTAAAAAAACTGGTAATATGATAAAAATTGTTGATTTGCTACCATTTCAACACAAAATCCAGTATGTGAGGCACAGTTTAGAAGTCAAAGCCTTAAAAATTATTTTAAAAAAAAAGGCGAGCTCTGGTGGCCTAGTGGCAAGAGGCTGCACTGCAATCCCAGAGGTCAGTGGTATGAATCCACCAGATGCTCTGCTGGAGAGGGAGGGACAATCTCCTCCTGTACCAGTCAGATCCAATTTGACAGTACACACACAAAATAATAATAATTTTTAAAAGTCATATTTAAAAAAATTAGTAGAACAATACAAACTATTAACCTCTTGCTATTTTTACTGAATTTCTGTAAATGCAGACTCTTGGATAGTAAATGACATAGCAAGAATAAACATGCTAAGAATAAAATTGAATTTGTAAGAAGTACAGTTTCACTAAATTGAATAAATAGAAAAATTAAATAAAAGTAATTATACAATCAAAAGTTTGCATATTTCTAGACTTTTTTGTTCTTTTTCCAGAGATCTCATTAATAAAATATCATAAAAAGTACCACAGGAGGAAACAAAGGAGAATGTTCTTTTTATCCCTGAAAGAAAAGATAGAGAGGATGCCCTGTTTGTTTTAGTACACTTTCAACTATTTTGTGTTGTACTTCATATTGGATTATTTTGTTGCAAAATTACTCCAATATCCAAAGAACTGAGAAGACCTAGAAAGGCATTATCCTATATGAACTAAATCACAGCATATAAGCAGAGTGCTCCTTTAATTCTTACTGAGAAGATTCTTCATACAGACAAGGCAGCAGGGGAGTTGAAGTGATTACATATACTGTTCTGAAAAGAGACAGCTATTCAGATCTTCATAATGTCTGGGGAGTGGGGGTAGGAAGTAGAAGTTAATCTTTGATAACAGAGAAAGAGTTTAGAAAAGAAAAAGAACAGCATATAGTCCAATTTTCTGAAAGCAAAGCCTACAAAGAAGTCATGTTTAGCCTGGAACTTTACCCAGATAATTCTACAGATAGTTCCTGACTTTTTTTGAGGTCTCTGCTCAGTATTTGTCTAACAGAGAGTGTTCAATAACTATCAACCATGGCCAGTTCCTCTCTGGCAATGGCCATCCCCCTGTGTATAGTCGTGGTGTTAAGGGTTTATTGTTCAAAACAGCTCTCTTAGCCATTAACTTTGACTCTGTCTTGTGGACTGGCAGGAATATGTGAATAAGGGGTGTTATCCTACCCACACTGACTAGTCTTGCCATTGAATCAAGCAGATTGAGCAGCAGAATTTTAGAATCTCAGCACTAGCAAAGGAGTAAGCATGCAGAACATGCCCTTCAGGGTGAGAGATTCTTGCACCAGCCAGGCCTACAGGAGGGCGGCAGAAGATGTGGAAGAGAACTAGAGACCTGACAAGAGACATGGTTCTGTGATCCCACAGAACCAGAACTAGGAACCCTGACTCAAGTATGATGGAGGACCAGGGAAGAGCTAAAAGCTTCACACTGGCCTAAAGCCCTGAGGCTGAAGGCTGAAGGTCCTGTGAGCATGGTTTGGAAACTGTCCTGACTGAGAAACTGTGTCCTGTTAACTATCATAATATATCCTCTAAGTGTGAATATGGTTCTGGATGCTCTCTGAGCTACTGCAATGGATTTCAGACCCAGTAAACCAGAATTAGTGCTAGAGTTTATAGAAAGAAGTGCAGGAGTGTGAGGGACATGTCTGACCTCATGAGCCTGTGGATGCTATTGACAGGGTCAGCTCCCCTTTGTGGAGTTAGCAGAGGTTGACTATGACCATCCCCATAAGCCCTTGCTCCAATTTCAACAGTACTTGTTACTACTATCTGATTGCGTGCTAGGTCATTTTTGTTGATTGTCTTTCTAACTACAATGCAATGTCAATAAGGACAAGCACGCTCATGGTTTCCTGTTTTACACCTACTGTCAGGAAGTGTGCACGGCACACAGTGGGTGCTCAGGGAATAAATAAATCTGCCTGATGTTTTTGTTAATATTTACTCCAATTCACAGGAACAAAACAGCTTTTCCAAGTTAGCTCTGGAAAACAGGAAAGGAGCAAAGAAAGTATAGATTTGATTTGGGAAGTAACTGACAAGCTGCACCAGAGACAAGAGTCCACCAACAACGATGCCACTTCATCAAAGGTAGCAAAACTCATTCCTGTTAAAACAAAGTATGAGGGTAAACAGACAGGTTCTTTCTGAGAGGTTTCAGGTGTGTCTTTCAAAGAAGAAAACTGGAAATCTGTGCATGTACATAAACTGACTACTTAAAACAAATTTTCAAACTAAAGCTGCAGTCCACTGTGAAGTGTGGAAGAATCTGAAAAATAGTTTTAAAAGAAGGGAAAATATCAAATTATGTAGAGGAGGAGAAAAAGGCCATTGCCTAAAATGCTTTCTGAATCAGATTCTCTAGAATCAATTCCAATGCACAGGACAGAACAGGACTGCCCAAAAGTGTTTCCGAAGTTGTAAATCTTTATGCAGCCGAGAGCCTCATCTTTCTCCTACAGAGCTGATGATGGCTTCAAAGGGGATCTTGAGGTTAGCAGCAAATGGGTTCAACCACTACTCTCTAAAGTTACATATAAATCTACACACATGAAATGCTTGCATTAATCATGAATAATGACTCACTGGCTTACACATGAAAAAGTTGAAACACTTCTGGTCAGGAGTTATCAAGCCCTTCATTTAGCCAATTATTCAAATGGAACACTGATAATTGGGAATACAGACAATAATTAGATGTGTGACTTATGTTACTCTCTTCCTAAATCAGTGCCTTATAACACGGAAGGGGTTTTCAGGGGTAGTGGTATGGATGTGACTCCAGAAAAGCACAAGTGTCAGATCTTAGCGTAGAAATCAAACTAGCCTGATTATAGTCTAATGACATTTAGGTGATGGAGTGCAGCATGAAAGATTGGCAGCCTGAATCTACCAGCCAAAGAGAAATCGTCTCCTTTACAAGATTTACAGCTTGTTTCAGGCTGTAAATAAACAAATAGAAAACTGCCATAAGAGAGATTTGACTTGATAGCAGTGGGTTTGATTTTGGTTATTAACTAGGAACTTAGGTGGTTATGTGGTTAAGGTGTTCAATCACTAAGCTAATGGATAGGGGCTTGAATACACCAATCTCCCTTAGGAGAAAGATGAGGCAGTCTCTTCACATAAACTCATACTGTTGTTGTTGTTATGTGCCGTTGAGTAGCCTATGACCCATAGTGACTCTGTGTACAGCAGCTCTGAACCCTGCCCTGTCCTGAGTCAGTACCACTAATTCCAATACACCAACCCCCACTACCCCAGTTACTGTATCAATCCATCTCATCCGGGTCTTCCTCTCCTGTGCTGTCTCTCCACCCTTCTGAGCATGATGCCCTTTTCCAAGAACAAGTCTCTCCTGCTACAAGGCCAAAGTATATGAGACGGAGCTTCAAAATCCTATCTCCAAGGAGAAACTTTGTTTCACCCTCTCCAAGACGACCTATTTGTTTTCTTGGCAGTCCAAGGTATGTTCAAAACTCCTCCAACACAACTCAAGGCATTGATTCTTCTTCTGTCATCCTTAGTCATTGTCCAGCTCTGAAGCACAACAAGTAATTTCAAAAATCATAGCCTAGATTAGGCACACCTTAGTCTCTAGACTGATATCTTTGCTTTTGAGCACTCTGGAGAGGTCCCTGACAGCAGATTTTCCCAATGCAATTAGTCTTTTGATCTTTTGACTGTGTTGATTGTGGAGCAGAGCAAGCTATAATTGCTAACCTCAAATTCTTCTCCAACTATCATACTGCTGCCAATTGGCCCAGTGGTGAGAAACTTTGTCTTCTTGAGGTTGGGCTTCAATCCATTTTGTTTTTTTTCTATAATTATA